CTCCATTTTGGGTTGTGGGTGGCAGAGACACAGATGGCCTCTAGCCGCAGCCTCCCTGGGGACACCTCTGGACACTCCTGAAGCGGGTAGAGAGCACATCATCAGACTCCACAACCAGAACTAAGCCAGTGGTCTATCTGGGCATCAGGGTGGACCATTCTTTTGCCATGGGTTGGGGGAGAGGCCACACAACCCCACAGAAGTCTGGGGTCCTCCACGGGAGGGTGGTCTGGATTCTGCAGCTGTCAGGCCAGTTCTGGCCCCGCCCCGCCTGCATGGGCCCACATCCAATCCAAGAGGTAAATGTCAGAGTCCCGTGGCTGTCACTTCTGTCTGCGTTTTCTTTTCTTTTTCTGGAGTATTGGGTCCCCCTCGCCTCATCGCCATCCCACACATTCCACCCACTTTCCCCTGCCTTCCTGCTGGTCCCGTCATTTCTGCTGTTTCTCTGCTTCCTCTCCTGTCCCTCCCCTCTGCTGGTCTGGACCTGCCCCAGTGCCCTGGTGGGGGGCTTCTCTGTCTTCAGAAGAGCCCTGTGAGGGGTGACGGGATGTCCGAGGTCTCCTGTGGTCCACCCTTCCGGGCCGTTGGTGCTAGCCTCTGATGATAGGGTAGGGCTCTCATTCTCACCTGCCACGATGATGTAAGCTGGGGATGTCCTGCACCTGCGGTGAGGCCTGGTGTGCAGCGGGATGCCTCACTGTTACACATGGCTGCCGGCTGGGAGTTGCCATGTGCAGACGCCCTCTGCTGCCTCCTGCCACCTTGAATATGGTAAGAGGAAGAAGGTTGAGCCTCAACACATTCATCTGTGCAATGGGAACCATCACAGTGACCTCCCAATAGGTCATAAGGTTATAAGGAGGCCCTGATTAAGTAGGTATGAGTCTGTTCAACTCATCTAGCAGATGCACACTGAGCACAGGTCTCTGCCTTCTGGCCAGGACCCCATGCCAGGTTCTGGGGACAGAAAGATGGCACCAGCACAAGAGCATCAGCAGACATCCGTGTAATATTCACTCTGTGCCTTTGCATGGTCCCAGTCCCTTACCTGCCCTGAAGAAATTAAACTCTGTGGGAAATGGTTCTCTTAGTCTGGGGACAGATATCATGGGGGAGGAGGTGCTGAGGCCAAACAAGGGTTAAAGGATGCACCCTGAGCAGACTGGAGGTGGGGGATCATGCTGCGGGGAAGGAAGGGATGGTGGGTGGGGAAGGACCTCTTTTGAGAGTGGGGTAGCCTGGGGCATTGCCAGTCCTCACGGTCAACCCTAACTGACAGAACAACGTTGCCTGGTGCCCAGGGATCAAGCATCCACAGTCTACTCTGAGCCCAGGCTTGTGAGCTAGGTGTTGTTTTATGAAAACACACAAGGATCCCCACAGTCTCCCAGAAAGCAGTGATGGGCGGTGCTCTCAGTAAGGGGTTAGTTAGCATGCTTCTAGGGCATGGGGGCTTGGAGGAGAAGAAGCAGTGGTGTGTGTCCAAGAGACTTCTAGAAGACGCAGATGGGTGTGAGCTTGACAGAGGAGCTCGGAGTGCAATTCTCATGCCTTTCTACCAGATGCTGGGGCCCTTTGCTGCTAGGTGGCTTTCCCGTGGAAAGGTTACAGATGCTCACAGTCCTGCAGGGTTGCATATATGCCCCTGGCATGAAGAGTTTCATCTTGCGTTCGTTTGGAGCTCAGCAAGGGCCTGCCATAAGAAGAGATCTTTGGTTTTCCTTCACTAGCATTTCCCAAACTGTCCAACCACAGACATTTGTGCTCTGAATATACACACATATGTGAATCAGTGTATGGCTTCTAGAAACATCCACTAAACTTGATGCCTGCAACACGACACGGGAAGCATTAGCCTGGGAAACGAGCTCAAGGCTGGTCAAAGGCAGCTTCCCTATACTGAGGGGGGTGGCGTGTTGACCGGAGACACCAGGATCTTCCTCTAAGAGGACCCATCCTTAGCGACTATTTGAGTCTATTCCAGTTGTAATAACAAACACAGGAGTTCATTTCTTACCGTTCTGGAACCTTGGAAGTCCCGGCTCTAGGTGTCAACAGATTTGGGGCGTGGAGAGGGTCCACTTCCTGACAGCTGTCTGTTTACATGGATGAAGAAGGAGGCTCTCTTTTGTTTGAGTCATGCACACTTAGCACGTACTGCTTGTGTGTGTGCGCACACACATGCACATTGATCACAGGAACTCAAGCTTCAGTGTCTTGTCATTGGGTTTTTGCCTTCTTTTCTCCCACCTGTCCCCCGAGTCCCATGATACCCTCGCACTACCATCACCAAATTCTCAAGATGACTATTGCAACATAGAGGCAGAGGTCATTAGCTAGGTTCATCTCCAGGCCTAGCCATATTGACTATGCTAATAGACCCAGGCTAGCCTCAGAGCTTAGACATACACACCTATTTAATCACTGTCCTCAGGGCTCTCCTGCCTCCACGAACCGTTATGAAACACAGGTGGAGAGGGGAGACCACCACCACCAAGGATGGTGACCCTGCTGATTTGGTGTGGTCTTTATCATTTTTGGTAAAGTGGACATCACAAGGCCCCTGAGTGGTGGTGAGTGCCCTGGGAGGGCACCCAGCAGAGGTGGATCTTGACCTAGGACAGAGGGTGCTGCTTCATGTCAGTGGAGAGTGAGAGAAAGGAGGCACTGGGGTGTAGAGACCACGCAGAGAGCACCAGGAAGAGTTACCGCGTCCCATGGTCCCTGTCCTAAGGTCTGAGCATCAGGTATGGGCTCAGTCCACGGAGGTTGAACGATGACTGGTTTCCCCTTTTGCCCCAGGCATTGGTCCTGACCCCAGCTGAGGTGGCCACTCACCTCTGCCACCCCTGCTGTGGAGTCGAAGAGGCCAGATGATATTAATGCTGCTGCCTTGTTTTATGAAGTGCCCTAACGAGCTGGCGAGCCAGACACACTCCGTCTTCTTTACGGCCGCTATGATTTCTCCAACCTCGAGATTAATTTGACGATAGCTGTTTATAAGCTCTTCCATCATCAGATGTGCCCAGTACCTGGGAGGAGACGGAGACTGGGTTTAGTTTGTGAGCATTCCTCCAGGTCTCTCTGTGCACGAGTCCCAGCCATCAATCACCACTGAGACCAGAGGGCGGGAGCTCCTGCTAGGCAAACCCGAGCACTCACGTGCCAAGGAAAAGCCCTGGCAGGCGGATTGCTCTGCAGATAGATCAGGACAGGCAGGGGCACTCCGTCATTCATGCTGGGAGGAAGACCCTGGGGAGGGTGTCCTCTGGCTGGGAAATTTCACTTTCGTGAACCTACACTCTGTAAGAATCATCTGGAAACTTGCTAAAATGAACTGCACACGTTCTTCCGTTATCCAGTCTTTACCCTGGCTTCAGGGTCCAGATCTTTCTCAGGGGAATGCAGGCTCCCACATGCCTGTCTCCAGTCAGGCTTGGCCTGTGGCGGTGACTCTGCAGAACTGAGCAAAACATACGATGGTGATCGTGATGTGCCTAGCCCAGGACTGGTATAAATAGACCCTCGTCTTGGTTACTTCTCTGCTGCTGTAACCAAGGCAGCTTTTTTGTTGCTATGAAGAGATACCATGACTAAAAAAACTTATAAGAGAGTTTATTGGGACTCATGGTTCTAGAGGATTATAGTCTATGATCACGGAAGCCAGGTGAACGGGAAGCCAGGTAGCCACGGGGCTGGGGCAGTGGTTGAGGGATTACATCCTGATCCACAGGTGCTAGGCGGGGCGGGGGGGCATGGTGTGGGCTTTTGAAATTTCAAAGCCCACCCCCCAGTAACACATCTATTCCAACAATGCCAGGCCTAATCCTTCCACCAAGTGAGTACCAAACATTCAAATATATATATGCCTGTGGGGGCCGTTCTCATCCAAACCACCACGACCCTCACCAGAACTACCCACAATGCCTTAGTTTTCACAGCTGAGGAATGGGATGAAATTGTGCCATTTCCCTTGGGTTGATGAAGACATTCCTTGAGAGTCCATAGGAGGTGCCTGGCACAGTGTCTGGGCCCTGGGTCAGGCTCTTCCGTGTAAGCCAAGGCACGGAACCTCCCAAGCCAGCTGTTGAGAGAGCGAAGTGTGATCCATTTTGCTTTTAACTAGTTTTATGAACTCAGTGTTAGTCCATTCATGGTCCCTGGCCTCATTGCCATGTAACCACACTCCACATTGCAGATGGAAGTGAGGGAAGTGTTGAGAGAGAGAGAGAGAGAGAGAGAGAGAGAGAGAGAGAGAGAATGACAGGCCCAGGGCCCAGCTGCTGACAGGTGAAAAGCCAGGGCTCTTGCTTCTTAGGGCTGTGCCTACCACCCTCCACTCCTGCCCAGCTCTTCTCTTTTCTGAGGGAATGAGGCTGTTCTCAGGAAGAGACAGGTAGACACAAGAGACCCATGGTGAGAGTTCAGACACTTGAGCCTGGGACCTGGAACAACAGGGTCTCTGGGTGGGTGGCTTAGTTGGGCTCCAGGCCATTCTGTCTCCTAGTCCACCAGAACATAGCTCTCAGGGAAGGCCTTAGAGATATTTGGTCCCCCTACCCTTCACTTTATGGGAGAGGAAGGGACTTGGCCAAGGTCCCTCACCAGACAGAGACCCAGAAGAGCAGGAATCTCAAAGTCATCCTGAACCCTGCATCTCTTCCTTTTCGTCTGCTTACAGCTATAGATTATTGTGTTTTGTTGGTGTTTTCCGCCATGCTGTGGTTCAGAGAGGGGCAAATATATCGGCAGAAGTACCATCAGTGGGGGAGGGCAGCCTCTGGAGGGGAGGTGGTGGTGGAGGAGGAGTAGGTGGTGGTGGAGGTGGTGGTGGTGATGGTGGTGGTGGAGGAGGAGGTGGTGGTGGTGGAGATGATGGTGGTGGTGGAGATGGTGTAGGAGGTTGAGGTGATGGTGGTGGTGGTAGAGGAGAAGGTGGTGAAGGAGGAG